AGCCTCACTGCGCGTGGATCTGATGATTTCACTTGCTTCCTGGTTTCAAAATAAACAGTACAACTAAAAACCCCGAGCAAACATGGGAGTTTCATGCCTGTTTTGTTTTTCTGAGAACTATTCCCTTCACATTGGGTTTATGATAAGAACTTTGGGAAAAAAAGGTCATGAATCTATTTGTCTTTGGAAGTGAATAGGTCTGCAAACTCACTCTGAAAATTTGAATTTTGCTTCTTGTCCCCTTTCATAACCTCTCTAGTTCTGTTTTAGGATTGAGATTCTAGTCTTTTCCACCATGTTTCACACAAGTAGTTTTCATTTGAATAAATGTTATGATTCTTTAGATCTAAAAACTGGGTCTATAATGATTCAAAAACTACTTCAAAATGTGATTAGGTCATGCCAACAGATTGTCTCAGCAAGGCAGTTGGCTAGAAAAACATCAAATACTAATATAAATAATATATATCTTGTTATATGACGGCTTACCTTTGCATGATGAATTACCTTTCTAGTAAAGGTTTTCCTTTTTATACTGGCTGGACACATGTACAACTAGCTTGTCTCATGGGCACCTAAAACAAATTACTTAAACACTTCAGGAAAGTGAATTGTGCATGACTCCATGTTTAACAGCTGTTAGAGGATTTGGACAATTCTAGTTTACCATCAGTTTTCTGCTAACACACTGTAAATTTCCGGAATGATATTTTTTCCAGTGTCTTAATTTTACTTGCTGTAAGAGCTTGTTTGTCTTTCATTAGCAATGCTTCATTTCTTTTTTGTCCAGGAACAAAAATATGTAAACATGCCCTTGTTGATGGTGAGTAACCTTTCTTTCCATTTTTCTTTCAGCTCTTGCTGACTTCCAAAAAAAAAAAAGCTAAATAAAATATAACACCTGAAAGTATAACACTCAGACAAGTTGTGCAATATGAGCAACTTTGCAAAGCTCAAGCCAGACCATTGCAACTCCAAACTTTCTTCAGCTGTAACCTCCACATGAAGAATTAATGGAGTGCAGGCACGCCGCAGGCAGCACAGCCAAGGTAGCTCTGGAAGCAGCAGCAGAGCTGGTGCATCCCCTGAGCCAGCTCATCCTGCCAGGAGGAGCACACTCCTGGCTCACCTGCTGCACACCACTGTGGGTTTGGGATGCACAGCAGCTTCCACACAGCATGGCAGAGCTGGGCAGAGCTCCCCTGCACTCCAAGGTCTCTGCAAAGAGCAGCTCTGAAGACACGGGGGCAGTGAACTTCTTCAGCCTGGGCCAAAGCAAAGCAAGCCCCCAGCACAGCTGAACGTGAGACCATCTCCTTCTCTCCCCCTGCAGCTCTGATACGGTGACCAGATGGTGCTTCTGACAGTGAGAAATATTGTGCTGGCTTTAAAATAGAGTTAGCAGTATTTCTCCTGGGTGCATCTCCCAGAGAAGATAAAATGCAAAATGGCAAAGATGTGATTACATCCAGGAGTGGAGGCAATGATGAAGTCTTACTGAGAGCTTTAACAAGTGAACTAACCAGCAGTCACTAAACTTTTATTTGCAAAATCTCTTTCTTTTAGCTGGATTTTCTGGATGATAGAGAATTCCACCTTGTAACCCAGGCCTGCTTTATGCCACATTCATTCAGTAAGGGTGAAAACAGTCCATATAACCAACTGTTAATGAGATATTCTCAGATTTAAAACTGTTGACAATCTAAGAAAGATGTCTGAATAAAACCCCAGTGGAGAAATCTTATTACATTGATTCATCTAGCCCCAGGCCAGGCTGCAGTTGTAATTAACTTACACAGTAAATTCTGCAAGAAAACATGTAATTATTTGCTCTAATACATGGTAAAATAATGACCATAGAAGCACCTGGTACAGTTCTACTAGGACAGACTGAAGATAAGGATGAAGTAAGGAAGCAGTAAAGAGATAATATATGACACACTGCTACCTGGGATGGCTTTTAGGAAGGATCAATCCATGCTGATATCATAAGAAGAAAATTTTGGGGGTTTTTTTGCCTTTTTTGTTTGTTTGTTTTTGTCCCTGGAAACTTCTTCACAAAGAAGAAAAGGAAAAATGTAACACCAAAAAAAACTCCCCCCAAACCCAAACCAACCAAAATCAAACCAACCAACCAAAAACAAAAAAAAAAAAAAAAAANCACCAAAAAACACCAAAAATTATGGATATTATAGAGAACCTGTAACTTTTCTAATATCACCTGAGAAGGATAAGAAGCCTTTCTATACAGAATAGTAATTGTGATTTTAGTGCAAATCAGATAACTCTGTGTATGAGCAGCCAAAACCATTTTTGTATTCTTTTACAGAATTTGTGAATCTAGGTACAATATCTGTACACATAGAGTAATATGGACAGATGCAATTCTGTATGTAAGACTGAGTACATAGCTCTAAAGACTCAGTTTTTAAAAATTTGATTGAACTACCCAGATAGATATGAAAGCAAAGCCCTTCCTACTGTTAAACCAAAGCCAAAAGTGGGATCATTTAACTGAATGTCAGCTATTTCACCTTTCTGTTTATCTTTATTAGAATAGACTTCCCAACCACTTCAGCACTGACCACAAGCTAAAGCACATCACAAAGGACATTGCACAAACAAACATCTCTTAAACACTGACAGGATTGGGGCATCATCTCTAGGAAGCCTGTTCCAGCACTTGGCCATCCTCTTGGTAAAGAAATACTTCCTAATGTCCACTTTAAACCTCACCTGGATTTGTGTTGAACCATTCCCACTCATCCTGTCACTGGATCCTAGGGAGAAGAGATCAGCATCTCCCTCTTCACGTCTTCTTCAGTCCATGATCAATATTTTTGCAATGAATAAAAGGAGTCTCAAATAGCCAAGCTGTAGAAGAGTGCTTCCAGGTATTTTCTAATCAGTGGCCAACATAATTCCACTATAAATTGTTTAGTCAATAAATTCAGCTATGTTTTAAAATTCAACTTGCCAAATTATTAAACATATGAACATACAATCAAGAAAATAAATCATTTCTTAAAACCATAATTATTCTGACCTTAAGTATTCCTATTGTAATTTGTCATGAATAATGGAAATGAGAGAAAATTATATACTAACCCTAATACATGGTTTTAATCAAAGAAAAACAATTATAGGCCAATTAAAATTCACAGAATTTCACAGTGGAAGAAAATAGGAACTAAAAATAAACTATTCTATTTAATTCAATCACCAGTTAACTTGATTCCTTATATAATCTTATAAAATCTTAAAATCAAGATTATATGGATTTAGAGAGCTTTCCTTCATATTTCTTTCACTCTTGTAATCAGGTGGGTAAATAAGAATAATAAGTTGCTAACATTAAATTTGTGCAAAGTCTTCTTAAGACAGTACCATGACTGTGCCTTCCATGCATTTTTCAATACACATGAAAATCAAGGATTATCCAGCATTTGCTGATACACCTTGTACATTACTGACTTATACAAAGAAAAGCTTACGATTTGGGCTCAACAAATTTTCTGTATCTCATTTGTAGACAACAAAGAAGCACTTTTTGGGTTCTGCATGTTTCAGTGAAAATCTCAGTCTTTGTGGCAGAATTCACACTATTTGCACAGCTACTTAATTCACTAATATCTGCCAAATTGTGTTTTCCTAAAGGGTAATTCAAGTTTCTCTTTAAAATCTGCCTGGTTGTCTCCATTTCCTTCAAGGACAAGTTGTATTTAATTGGAGGATCCTCCCTCTGTCCTTTCTCTGGGCATCCTTTGCGGCAGGCACTTTTTGTTTCAGAGCTGAATTTGTGAAAACATGTAAACAACCAATATTACCAACCAATAACATTGACATAGTTCACTGTGCCCATTATCACAGACCTTAACCAGTGCTCACCAAGCTTGTCCAGTCTCCCAGCTCCACAGCAGAGAGCCTTTTCAGCTTACCTGTTGATCAAAAGTTTTGGTAGCAAGAACTATATTATGTATAAAAGACAGCAAAGCTCTTTCATCATCTCTGGGACTTAAATCCCAGCTCAAAAGTCAGTGGAGCAATGCCCTTATTTTCCCTTTGGGCCCATCAGACAGTGTGCATTTTCAGATGTACAGACAATGTAGAGCACTAAAACATCTGAATGTACATAAAAATGATTTAAGCAAGCTGGAGTGCTGATATATAAAGCACAACAGTGGAAAACAGAAACCATAATCACTCTTTTCACCTGCCATACACTTCTCCAGGGATATTTATTCTCACAAGTTTTCATTTCTTATGGCTATAGAAGATGGATATTCCCTCCTGTTTAAAAGTAAGAGGAAACTTAATTTCTGAAAATATTGGAAGAACCTGCAAAGCAATTCCATACAAGCAAAATTATATTAATTTTCTTAAACTAATGGTAAGCAGCAGATAAGCAACAGGAAAACATCAATATATAAAAGTCAATATAAAAGTTTCTTTCCTGCTTCTTGTTGAGAGGGATAAAATATTTTGAACTGGAAAGTTCAAAATATTTTCTAGATTTATTTCCAAGACAAAATAAGTAAATTATGATCTCTAAATTAATTAATAGTATTCATTTAACAGACTGAAATAGGTACAGGACAATTTCTGAAATACTAGTTAGTCTGTTATGTTAAGAAGTCAAACTGATTGTCATTATGCTGAGAACCAGACAGAAACAACAATGAGAAATATCAAGTTCAGCAGGCAAATGGGAGTTTTGTTTAATGTTTGGACAGTGATTACTCAAACTTTAAAGAAAAAAGTAAAAATTCAACAGACAAAGCCAACTGCTGGCTGGCCACTGGGGTGGCCCCAGAGTGTGCAGCAGGTTGGCATGGCTCATGGGACCAGCAGCCAAAGCTGTACTCCCTGGCAAGAGAAAGCCTTGCCCAGCTGCAGCTTGGACTGAATATTTTCATCTAAAATAATGTTGTTTTTCCTTTTTATTCCAAATAAAAAGCCTTTTTGCCCCTCTCACTACTTTACTTGTCATGTTCACTCACCAGCTTGAGCATGCATGTATCCTACCAGCAGACTCCAATATTCATCAGCTATTTGCTTCATGATTCAGGTGTGAATGGGTAATAATTTCTCCTGAGAAAACAGAAAAGACACACAGTAGATTCACGCAATTAAAGATTTTCAGTAAATCATTAAAATAAGTACTGCATTTGTTTTGCAGGAAAGTATTCATTACCTACACTACACTCATTAATAATGTGAGGAATGCATCTTCCTTATGCCCTGGTATGTTATTGATAGTTTGATAAATACAAAAATTCATATTCAAGGAAGAACAGTGCCTATTGCACTATGGCATCTTTTTTCTTTTGTTTACAAGAATCCAATTTTCAGTAGATTGAGGTATTCTTTCTCATATTTTTTTATGGTTTGTTCATTAAGTGAGAAGAGCTGAGGCCTAATAACTTGAACTATTTGTCTTTGACTTCAACAACATACCTCTGCAAAACATAATTTCCCCTTATTCTTCAAAAATATGTCTATCTTCTTCCTGAAGACAAACTATGATATTACAGTAAATTACAGTCAGTGGCTAATGAGGAAATTAGTACTCTGGTCACAGCTACACTGTGAAGGCCTTCACTTCAGCAGGACTATTAACCAAAGTATTTATCAATAAGATCCAAGTTTTATGTTTCCAAGAAATGTTTGAACTTATATGCAGGTTGAAGTTTATACTAAATTAAAAAAAATTATACTGCATTACCTACAGAGGGTGGAAGAGAACAAGTTATTAGATTTCTGTCCTATGCTTATGTCCTATGTTATAGGAATTAGTCAAGCAGTCTACAAGACAATATTCTGGTATTCACTTAAGACACACATGCAAATTTAGAAAAATCTGCTGTTCATACTTTCAAGAAAAAAAATTGTGAAACTCAGTTTACCCTCTTCTCTTTGCTCTTTTCACTGTTTTTTTTTTCCAGCAGTGTGATTCTTACTGTTTTACAAAATTATGTAAGTCATTCCAGATTAGAAGTGACAGGTGAATATCTGATATTTTAGCACATTCAACATCTTTATATAAAGCTTAGCCCACTGGTTTGGACCAGACCCTGTTTGAGACTGAGCAGTGCTGTAGCAGGACACTGGCTAACACACCTTTAACAGCTTTTGTCCTGAAATAAACACCAAGACCTTGAATAATGCCACAAGGTCTTCACTCAGACTAGGGCATCACCCTCCTTTCTCCTTTCATTTGTACGAAGTTGATCAGACAGCCTGGCAGTACCACTAAAGTGCATCTCATTTCTGCTAATGAAGGAACTTGTGGGGTATTGCAAATTGCTCCATATGCTGTACTGCAGTAGCACTGAAAAACTCTGTCAGACCTCAGTCATCTAGAATTGGCCATCACTTTCTTAAAAGTTCAGCTATGCTATCTTGGGGAACATAAACCTTATGGCACAAACCTATGTGCCCAGTGATGGTCCCCATCACAGGCAGTTCCCCTTGCATCTGTGACCCTAATCCACACAGGGCTACTCTTTGGAGTTTTGGAAGCTCCCACACATTTATCAAACTATAAACAGTTTTTTAAATGCAGAGCTTTCTGATTTATTACAGTCTTCTTTAATAATAAAGATTTCTGTTGTGTCTGTACTAAGTAAAGTAATTTTGAGCTTTTCTGGTCTTGAAGAAATTAAAGTAAAATGGAGACCAAAAGTTCTTTTTCTCAGTGCATGCACAAAACCACCTTTAATAGCCCTTTAGCCCTGTAACCCCTCCACCAAAAACATTTAATTCATCCTAGATTCCCTCTGAGAAATCATTTGCAATTCAATACTACACATTGCCTGTGAATTGAGGAATGAGCACAAAGCTAGAGTTTGCTTGCATAGCCTGCCCTGTGAAAGGACAAACACTTGGTAAATTACATGCAAACCTAATAAAATCATCATGGTTGGGCTGCTCTAAAAGACATCAGTGAGGTAAAAGATGTTACTTCTGGATCTTTAGATATACTATAGAGGAGACCAGCACCATTTTGTCCACTACCAGAGCTGAAAATTTCTAAACTGATAATCTCCTGTGATTTTTTTTTTAATTTTGGTACATGGAAAAAACTCCATCACATAGATGTGAGCAAATTGCAACAACTCTGGAAAGTAAACAGCAATTCAACAAATCTAAATTGTACCTGAATAAGATCTTAATGAAAATGTTCTTCCATATCAGATCAGCAGAACATTATGTATTAATCATCTGTTATAGATATTCTCTTAACTCTCTTGTAATCTAATCCACCTAAGGCAGAGTAAATAGGATGTGGCTGGATAAAGGCGCAGAGTGCTGCCAGAGTTGGAGGACAACGTTAGAACAGAATCTTCTCTCTCCTTAGTCACAAGAATTCCATGGAAGTAGCAAGGGCGATTATTAAAGCTTTTAAAAGTGCTGAGTGTGAAAAATGTAGCAAGACATCTATGCCTGAAAGAGCTCACAATTGAAACAGCCAGCAAAAATAGGCAGTTATCAGATGATGGCTAGAGGATGTGATATGTCAAGGACTAGTGTGTGATCCAAGAAGATCAGCAGGCACCATATTAGTTCTACCATTTTGTATTCATCCATCATTTGAGACCTTTGGTTTCGGAGAGGTTAGAGTTTCATACAGGCAGCTTTAGAAACAGAGGTTGTTGGGAGAACAGCCGGCCAGAAACTTTCCAGTGAAGTGAAACTTCATTCCAAATGCAGCCAACCTGGTAACCCTTTGATGAGTGCAAATAGAGTTTCAAGGAAACCCTGCCCAGAGAAGGAACACTCGGGTACCTTGAAGTCTTGAAAACACTTTGGAAAGAAGACTGAGGAAAGCTAGGCTTTGTGATATGAAAACAGGGACAGAGCTTTGTGCCAGGGTGTTGTGTCTCTAGAGGGTTCACATGGATGGTCCAGGCAGCACCAACAGAGAATACACTTGCAGCTGCTAAGGATCTTATCTATCCACTTTCCAAAAAAAACCCCCGCACATTAAATGATGTCTCAGCCTGTAGTTAGGAGCTGTTTACTCAAGCAATTTAAAAAATCTCCATCTGTGCAGGGATGTTAGGACCTGGCTGCAGGCTCAGTCTTGCAGATAGCATTTGCTGAGACTTGCTTCTGTGATAAAATATTGGCATTCATTCAATTGCAGAAAACTTACACCAGAAGTTGCTTTTATTTTTGCAATGTGTGCAATTCCAGCTTCAAAAATTAATGAAGATAAAGAAATTACAGTGCAGTAGAGGCAATGCCAAGACATTTCATGTTTAACTAAACAGCTACCAATTTGCATGAAATTTCAGGTGGTATTGACTTGGATCAGACTCAATTAAGTGACCTAGAAATAAACACCTATATCTCCTTACTACTCCCCTCATCCATCTTGTCCTGTGGCATTCCCTTGTTGAAATTGAGCCAACAAAAGAAAGTATATTTCCTCTTCTCTTAAAGACTATTACAGTTCTTTTTCTCAATTATATATATATAAAAAAAAACCAACCACAAACCAAGCCCCCCTCCCCCTGCGGAAAAAAAAAAAAAAAAAAAAAAGCCACAAAACAAGAAAACTAGTCCATATTTCATCATTATCTACCAAAGGACATACTTTTTAATTATGTGTCCAATCCTGAAAAATAAAAATAATGATCTAAGAAAATCACTGTCCTGGTTTAGGGACACACACAATTATGACAGGCACATAACTGCTATGTGTTATACTCTCACAGAGTTATTTTATTTTTCTTCAAGAAAAAAACCTTTCAGAAACCTGTTTATTTCACGAGTCATAGTGCTTCACATTTCAGCTTACTGCAGTATAAGCAGTATTGCTCATCAAAAGCTGTAATGGATCACAGGTTTGGCATGCCTTTTGCCCACAACACTCATTAGTATGTTTTAGCTGCTTGCATCCATCACACAGGGATAGAAAGAGAAAAATCTAAACTGAAGTCCCAATCCCTAAGAAGGGCTGCTGCAAAAGAACCATGTATAGAAAAACTGTCTGATTCCTTAATTCATTATAAACAAGCATTTATTTAGTTTACAGGTAAGCCAGTTTGGTGCTGTAGAGCAAAGACCACCACTGTGAAACCAGCACATGAATTTATTTAACGATTCCTCAGAGATGGTAGATTGCACTAACACAGAGGAACTCTCACAGTGCAATAAGATTAGGAGGCTCATGGGCTGGAGAATACCTCCTAGCAGTCTTCAAAAAATAAATACAAATCTATTGGCAGTTACTGACTTCTGGGAATTCAGCCTACTCAAATCAGTCTTTTGTTGTTGAGTAGACATCAATAGCAGCCCACAGCTGTGGTCACAATTTTTCCCATCTTTCACTATCACACACTCAAATATGGACATTTATATAAAGAATAGCCTAGAACAACTTAGCTGGGAACAAAGATGGCTGATAAGCTAGATAAAAGAGAGATTTGTAAAACCACATGTTATGTGAAAGGGAAATAGCCACCCAAAGGAAAATAGCACCAAAATCAGATGCCATTTAGTGAAGCTTCAGATACTGTGCCCAAAACATCCAGAGAGGTAATTCTCTGTGCAATAAGCTGTAAATTCTCACTCCAGGAAACTGTAAATGCTAGAGATTTACATGAGTTCAGAAACTGACTGGACTAACAAGAAAAAAAAACTTTTAAGGTAACACTTCTGCATTAAGCAATGATACCTTTCCAGTGTCCTGCAGGCACTTCTCCTCATATTGTTATTTACCACTTTCAGTGCAGCAGTACAGGGCTAGACAGCAGTCACTTGTTAGTCATTACAGTGACTTTCAGATTCTTTAACCAGAAAAACAAATGTTTTAATTACTTTTCCCTGTTCCAGGGAACTGTCACTCACTCTTTTGTTATAATAGAAAGTTGCACTATAATAAAATTAATTACTTGCTATTTACAAAGGAAAGCTTTAGTACAATAATAAACAGGACAATTTTCAGATGCTAGAGAATGTTTTAAAAAAAGAGTTCCATCACTTTATTCAGGTAAATTATTGTAACTTTCTCATAGTTAACTCTTTATTGACAGTTACAGAACTGTGCAGTTTGTAAATGAGCTGCCATTACTTATCCAATC